ATACATATATATATATATATATATATATATATATATATATATATATATATACATATATATATATATATGTATATATGTGTGTGTAATTGATGTAATCAGTTGTATTTCGATTCTTATAAATTTACAAGTTTATTGCAACGAAAGTTACAATGAAAAATTTTTAAATATTGTGTACTTTTGCGCTACTTTCTTCCGAGAGCTTTGGTCCGTTCAAGGAGATTCTACAGCACGATACGCGCGAAGCATTTCATCTAAAATTTTGATGTATTTTGTACATTTTATTATTATGTAATTTTAACACACATTATGGTACTGCTCGGTACCGGGTCTCTCTCTCTCTCTCTTCCTCTATCTCTCTTTCTCTATCTCTTTCTCTTGTAAGGCAATAATAAACATTTAGCCGTGTCTGAATACACGATAAAGGATGCTAGGCTTTAAACGATACCGTAAAAAGGCGTAAGAAGGGAGAAAGAAAGAATACACTTGTAAGATTCAGGGCTCCTTCGTTGCCTTATTAAGGTTCCTAACAGACAGCCCAACAAACTCGTACGTTTAAACGAAAGACATGAGCCAGACAAGCCACTTCTCCGATTAGGAAAACGGCGGTGTGTCGCGACAATGTGTAAAGAAATCGCGCGCACACGCCGATACACGCACGTTTCAACACTCTGTGTGGAACCGAATATATCTTTTCTTTCAATCGCACTGTGAAACAACTTTACGATTTACATTTCGTAGTTTCGCTGACGACCAGGGCACCTTGGTAATTAAATAGCGTAATAACGATAAAGACTAGATAAACACTTAAGGTAACAAGCATACACACGTACACACCGAATACACACGAGAAGTACCTATGCATAAAGGAATAAAAATGCGCGCGTTCGAAACGTAATTACATTGTGGATAATATAGTACATGTATAAAAAAGAACTCTCGACGCCCCTTCCTTGTAACGTTTCGGCGTGTCTTTTACTTAATAATCACGCGATCACGCTGTACTGTACATTCGACGAAGAGATTAGTTTCGTACGACTTACTATGCCTGCGTATATATCTTTAAACGCCGTTTACAGAGTAAAGCCTCCAGATAGTCTAACGAAGCAGAAAACGCCTAGGTGCACTAACAGTTAAGTCAGTAACTTAAAACGAAAAGGGAAAAAAAAAAATTAAGGAAGAAGAAAAAAATTACCCGCGAGGAAAGCTAGCTAAAAAATAAAAAAAAAAAAGTAGTGAGAACTATTTTCTGCATTATACTAGGAGTTAAATCGACGACGAGTGTGACGTAAGCGGGGAAAGTTAGGGAGTTACGGAATTTACCTTCAATCTCTCCTTGTCGCCGTTGAGTACAGATACTCTTGACGTCCATGCTGCTAACAAGTAAAGAAAGAAAGAAAGAAAGAAAGAAACGAAGAAGTGATCACAACAATTTATTTATTTAAAGAGAAAGTCTAAATAAATGATACAACAATAGCCACGAGATGCCTTCGACGCAACAATTTTCGGTGCCCTGGAACACAGTGCATACATATAAATATATAAGTATATATATATGTAAAGAAAGTATATATAAATATATAAATATATATATATAAATAATAGACACCTTCTAGCAAAGAGAGAGAAGTGTAATATGCGCTAAATTTAGGTGTTAAATTTAGATGTGCTGATCCGAAGTCAAGGTGGTGACGATATGTATGTAACGCACCGCACCGAGCTAACACACAATTTGATGTAAACGTATTTCTGATGACACGTGAGAGGGAAATCTCCAAGTAGACTTAATTGATTGTCGATGTACACTGTAAATATTAAAAACGAGGCAACTAAATGTTACTAAGAGCAAGGCAGTTTAAGCTCCGGTGTTTAATTGGTTACCGCTGTTACTGCCATCCTCGACTTTTTATTATCGTATATCGCGCACGATGAGTCGTATTTACGGGTGTGTTGAACGTACGGTAATATCATCCAGTCTCACGTTTCTCGCTCGTGTCTACGCTAGCGTTCTTATCATACGAATACTGATTAGTTGTTAATTTACGGTTTAATTTAAACGAAAAGAAAACCGCGATAGATCTCTTTTAGCTAATTCTTACGGATTAGGTGTTAAGTCACTCTTTCCCCGACAAAGAGTCTCGTCCTTCTTTCCGTTTCTTCTTTCTTTTCTTTCCTGCTTTTGTTTTTCCTTCCGTCGAATAGTGATCACTTCCCAAACGTTTTCAGCGATTGTACGTCCGGAGCTTTCGCTTCCCACATTCGCGTCTTCTTCTGTCTCTTTCTCTCTCTCTCGTCGTAGCTGTCGTCTTTTCAAGTCCAATCATGTGATTCCTTTCTGTCGCAATACGTAGAATCCTCGATCTTGTAATATCATTGCATACACTATTAATCACACGCACACGCACGTATATCGATCGCGTACGGTAAGGCGGAACAATCATTTCTTCGCGTTATCGAATATCGCAAAGTCGTTCTTCCGAATATTTAACTGATGCACTTTAAGCCTGGATGAGTGATCCTTAAAAATTACGAGCGCTCCAAAATTTTCCGTTGAAAATTGTGCCTGCGCTTAAAAATATTTTAAAAACACTTTTGCTGTAGTAGAGAAAGAGAATTTTATATAAATATCAAGTGAAGCAAAACACGTTAAATTTAATGAATGCGCTAATTTTTAGCGCATGATTATATGTTTCGAAAGAAGCTGGCGATACGCGAATATCAAAGTTGATAGCGTATTCTAAACCAATTATACGCGGTCTATAAGCGAAAAAAATCAACAATTGCCGGTTTTTATCAATTCTCCTGAAATTACGTCACGAGCGATAATTCTACAGCGCGAATAACTGCTATGAAACGTTGTAGAAAATTAGCGCTGCCGATTCGACGAGACGAAAGCTGCTTCTCAAATGAGTTGTTTATCGTAGAATATATTGCATTCTGTATTACTCATCCAGGGTCAAGGGGGATCATATCGCGCGCGATGACGATCGCCCGATCGCCTCATGCGCAAAATAACGATTTGCGCAAAGTGCTCTTGAATAAACATTTTGTAATATTTATCATTTTACAACGCAAGATCTCTAAGATTACAGATTGAGACGTAACGAAGTTTAAGAATAGGGTGGATTTTTGTATTTTGAATGGAAACGATCTACGATAGATTTTTCGAGAAAGACAGTTTGCAAAAACTCTATAATGTAAATATAACTCGCACCACTCGTTGCAATATCAAGTATCGAATAGTTACTATATTAATCAGGTGAGAGAGAAGAGCGATAGAAATTTACCTAGAAAGTGAAGGAAATGTCCGAAAGACATCTGAGAATCTTTCGAGCATCAGGGGAATGTCATTCATTCCTCATCCCTTTGTATCTTATTCTTACATTTCACTATGTCTCAACCGCATTTACCAACGTGCAAACCGTTAGATCGCGTATGAGCCACTTGAATCGTCCCGAATGCGCGTTTAAGCCGCACCGAGAGTCGAAATAATATCAGCATTCTTCTCGTTTCAACACGACGGAGGCGAATGCGCGCGTTACGGTATTGCGAACCAAACGAAACCCCCGCCGGGGGATACGATCGAAGAGTGTTATCTGTCACTGTAAGCGTACTGGCGCAGCAGAGCGCGGCTTATAATTCATTTCGTTCTCACCGCTCGTTTTATACAGTGATTTAGCTGAATTTTATAAGCCAGACTTAGGGTAGCGGTTATTAGATAAAGATTCTTCGCGATTAATCTCGTTCAAGCGTAGCGATAGCAAAATCTTAGGCACGGCCAGTCCCGCGCGTCGTTAGTCTACGGTGACCAGATAACATCATCGTGGGTACAAAAGGGTGCAATGATGCTGCGACGCTCCCGAACGAGCGCTATTTCACCGCGAAAGATGTAGAATTCTTTCCAGTTTTTTTGATTATATTTTTGGAGCGAGTACACACTTTTCGGGGAGAAGTGTGTAATTTATGAATTATTATTATTGATTTGTGAAAAGATCAAACGCTGTTTATTCTTTGCCACGTAGAAAGTAACTAACGATCATTAAACATTCTTTAATAAAACGGAAAAATGTACGCATAGATTAACGCACTGTTAATTTATTAATAGTTCAATTTCGAACTTAGAAGTCGTTTTAGATTGTTGCGCTGTAAATTGCTCTTGAGGTACACGAGATACTCTCTTTCTATTATTATTATAATTTTTTTTTTTTAATAGAAAACTAGGAACATATGCACGTATATATATTTTAGTTTCGAGAGACAAGAAAAATATGGCATTGTTGCACTCAATTGTGCGGGGACGTCGAGGAATTCCCTACACGGTGTGTCCGGCCGTTCCGTCGCATGTGACTCGCTGTGTAAGATTCGCGCTTATTTGAAAACGATTACACGGAAAATTGTTTCGGGGACGGAAGGGGGAGGCCAGAGCGAACCATACGCGCGGACGCGCACGGCGGACAAGGTTATATCGAGTGCGGATATTTTATAGTAGGCTTGTGATTAAATCGAGGAATTATTGTCGAACGGTCCGAGATAAAATGAAGAAAAAAAAAAACGATGTATAAAGAGAAATATTGCTTTCCACATGCAGAATATACTATTGTAATTATGTCGTTAATAAATTGTTTTTTATTTTAACTCTCTCGTAAGCGTTTCTACACATTGTCCTCGTAAGTATCTCCGCACGTATGTATAATCCCTAAGATGGTTAGGATTCTTCGTGTGAGATTCCATCGGCAGAGATGAGGCCCAGAGGTAATTTACGGAGAGTGCAATTTAGTTTGGTAGTTGTGCATGATAGCTAGGAAACTGTGAATGGCATTCACCGCAAATTGGAGAAAATAGCTTATAACTCGAGTGATGAAGAGGAAGGTATATCTTCTGACCTTAACTGAAAATTCGACCAAGTGTCGCTTAATCTTATACGCGGGATGCTGAGAAAATTTTGTATTCCTATCGAAATGTCAATTGCACGATTGCCTGCGTTACTTTTTTATTTTATTTGAGAAATTATTTTCTCAGAATCGATTTTTTAAAAGTGCTTGTTCGATGAAACGTAAAAATTTCTAATTGCATTTTCTTGAGATGTAGAGTAATCTAATTTGTAAAATATTTTATTGCTTACAAAATTTTATATTATTCTATGTGTACGGAATACTCATTTTATTTTATTTTATACCATACATGTCTTTTTCTCCGAAGTAATCGATTTAATTATAATGCATGAATTTTACTCAACGGATAAAGCCTAACAAATATGTTACAATCAACAGTTCATATCATAAAAATTAGAAATAAGTACGAAATTAAATCAGTAATTAATTAAGAAATATCGAGTTGAGATTATAATTTACAAGTTGTTTACTATTTATCTTCTGCAATCAAGATATACGCGCAGCATGCGAACGCGCCTTATCAGCGATGGTAATTGCATTCCACTCGCTATTGATCCCTTCAATCCAATTGTGGCTTCTTGTCCATCGCACTTTAGGAGAGGATGGCGTTAGTAGTTTGAATTTGAATCATTCGTGAACATATTTATCAATTATTAATATTTTTTCGAATATACATAATTTTGCAGCAATGAGTTATTGATCTTTTTTACAACATATGAATATTTTTGATACGGTATATTTAAATGCATACAATATAGTAAAAACAAATAATAATAATAAGAAGAATAATTAGCATTAGAATTTAAACAATTTTAGTTGATGATTCAGCGAGTAAATAATTCCAATTTCAATTATTTTCTATAACGGTAGTAGAAACAAAAAATTGTAGTCAGACGTATTGATCGAAAGCTTTGCGACATTATTTTACATAATTATGATTTGTACTGAATTCGAATGTGCATGTCTCACCTAAAATGCAATCCTGCTATATTTCCTGTGTTTAATATCGCGCAAAGAAATCTGCAAATCTTATTTTATTGTGCGGCTTATAAAACAACGGGAAGCCCTTTGAGACGACGAGAAAAACTCAGTTCGGTATTGCTTCAAGAGAGAAACCCTATGTCTCGAGGTAGGCGGCCTAGCGACACGTACAAATTGTACGATTATGCGTGTCGTGACACTACGCGGTTGACTCTGAGAAAATGCGATTGGATTGATCCCGGTGATATATCACCGTCCATTTCCGCGTACGTTCCCTTTCCTTAACCGCGCGAGCCGCGAACAAATTTTCTACAACCGCAGAAAATTTACATCTATCGCGCCTATACTTGCATCCATCTCGATGGACTGAGCGATGCTCGCAAATTGCGTTTGACAAGTAGATATGACGTGGTCATAGCGACGCTTGTAAGCTTGAACATCATAGAAAAGAATAATTAACATTAGAATTTAAACATTTTTACTTGACGGTTCAACGGGAATAATTCCAATTTCAATTATTTTCTACAAGTAGAAATGGAAAATTATAGTCAGACGCATTGATTGAAAGCTTTGCGACATTATTTTTACACAATTATGATTTGTACTGAATTCGAAAATTAACGAGGAAAATTGTAAAGATGTTAACAATTTGCTTATCATATGAAAAGCATGTTTTTGCTATTATGAGCGGAGATTCATATAGTTAGCACCAAACATAATTTTACATCTCGGTTTCATCGCAAGGGAGACTATTGAAGATCTTTGCGTTAGACAGATAAAACTGCGGCAGTTCTTATCAGACAGCTGCAAATCCAAACACGAGCGGTGAATGTTAAATTTCAGAACAAGGATTTGAATAATGAACGAAATCTGCGATTTTACGATTAACAATTTGAACTTACGGCGGTCTTATCGCGCCGGAATGTATCTTCGGCGTTCTTGTTTTCTTCTCGCAAAAATCGGCGCCTTCGGCAAATCGTATGCAAACTCGATTATATCACGATCTTTCCCTCTCTCCTCTCTCTCCTCTCTCTCTCCTTCTCCTACCTCTTCACTACTATTCACTTACTACGTACTACGTACTACTACTACTACGTACGTACGTACTACGTACGTACGTACGTACGTACGTACGTACGTACGTACGTACGTACTACGTACGTACTACGTACGTACGTACGTACGTACGTACTACTACGTACTACGTACTACTACTACTACTACTACTACTCTACTACGTCTCTCGTCTACTCTCGTACTCTCTACTACTACTACTACTACTCTCTCTACTCTACTCTCTCTCTCTCTCTCTCTCTCTCTCTCTCTCTCTCTCTCTCTCTCTCTCTCTCTCTCTCTCTCTCTCTCTCTCTCTCTCTCTCTCTCTCTCTCTCTCTCTCTCTCTCTCTCTCTCTCTCTCTCTCTCTCTGTCGTCATCTCTGGAAATCGCGAAATCCGATGGAATACTCTCGACGGCGCCGAGCAACGCGAGAAATAATTAGTTTTGCAACTGTGACGCACGCGTGTTCTGCTCGCGGCTTACGCACACGTGTGTGCACGCATGGCACGCACGCATCTGCGAGACGTATGGCAGGAGAGTGGTTATCACGGGTCTGTGATTGGTATTGCCCTATGACCTCCGCCGAGGGACGGCTCCGCCTCTCACTTACGCACCGACACGCACGCATTAAAAGCGGACCTCCTTTGCGTATGTAAGCGGGCGAACGGGCGGCTGTTCATCGCATCGTGCCAACATCATGATGGCGTCCGCGTTTTCCACGAGCAAAGATACCAATTGCAGCTCGAGGGGAGGGGAAGAGCGTATCAACTCGTTCGTTATTTTATAGCGGCATGCTGTAAGCCGCGATCGCGACGATTCGTGCCACCAAAGTGACAGAGAATTCTGTCTTGCGTTGAAAAACAATTAATTTTTCATTTATTAAAAAATCAGTTTGCAAATTCTTTTCAACTGAAATATAAAAACAATATTAGTTCATTGATCAAAGTCTTGAGATAACAAGATTGTCTCCATATTTTCTAGGCATCCGAAATAACGTAAAATTAAATCGACTCGCTGTTATCACAATTACATTATCGACATTGTTCAATAATTAAAGACATCGTGTTTCATAATGCAAGCGTCGATGGCGAGTACGACGTGAATTATTAGCGTTCCGGCATTTATTGGTGTTGGTTCTCTTCCATCGACCTCGTTAATTAAGCCGGGCTAAAAGTCTCGGTGGACTCTAAACGAGCTATGACAATCGCTCGATTTGGCATTCTGATTCTCGCATGATTCACCGTACGCTTATAGCCGAGGGCTTTAATTGAGAACTCGGGAGATGAAAATTATGCTCTTTGTGTATTAGTTCTTTACTTAAGCGACAGTTTGTGTGTGCTCCAGTAATTCTCAGAACCAATGATATAAGCAAGTTTAAGCAAATATGTCATTAAGAATACTCACTGATTCTAAACTGCGGTTTAATATTTCGGATATATGAAAGTTCGAGAATTTCAAAGTTCTAAACAAGGAAACTGAGATATTTTTTTAACAATACAACAATCTTGATAATAAGTAATCTAAAAAATTAAAACTTTAAAATTCAGAAAAAAATTTGTGTGAAAAGAATCAAGGATCTAGAGATTGAATGAGCATCGATAAATTTAAGGGTTTGCAAGAATTAGAAATTCCACGACACGATTTGCGGAAAATTTCTTGTTGCAGCTTAATACAGCGCCTAATACAGTGTCTGGCGAAACGCAGTAGAGCATTTATCATATTAAAATGCTCCGTCGGGAAGCTGCGCGGAATTTCGTGAAAAATGACTGGCGAACGCGAAAGATTTGGATATGACTCGCTCGTAGTTAAAGGGTTAATCGAGGTCGACGCGATCGATTCCTACTCGCGCAATTTATTTCTCAGGAGTTACGCAACGGCATCCTCGAGCATTCTCCTCGCTGCCGATGCTTTTCGTTCACGATTGATGGAGAATCGAACACGTGCTACGCCCTCCATCATACGTCCTTAGAAGGGATTATCGTTCTTGCGCAACATCGCGGATATTAATTTACTGCATCGACTATAATTTGCGATCGCTCCGTTACCGCGATGATTACTTCGCGAACCTGCGAGGAGCTTTAAAATCGCTTTGCGTCATTACGATATCAAGGATCCTTCGATTTGCGTTACTTGGAATACGCTATTTCTTATCTTTGCCCGCGATTTAGGCTGCGCTTTAATGATGGTAGATTACGAAATCATACGGCTTATCGTAATATGTATCTATTTGGAGCAATAACATCCGGAGCTCGAATAAGACTGAATATACGAGATGATAAAACGGTAGAATGTGCACAGTAACTCGAGATTTTGTATAAAAATTGATAGGATATTCATCGTAATATATAAACTTTGTGTAAAATTGGAATAACATTTTGAAATAAATGTGATATGCTTTAATTTAAAAAAATTTAAGACAAAGTTTAGTGGTATAATAACTGATTAATTTATATTAACTGATTAACTTATTAATTTCCTCATCCTTTTGAATCGAAAATATTATAGAATCGAAAAGTAATATTAGATCATTAAAGGCTTATCAAATATTTGCTACGCGAAGAATGTCAACAAGATACAGATGTTATAACGACGTATTTTTTTTTATGGAAAATATATGCGGAAGAAAGAACGAAATTTTCGACAAACGCAAACGACAAGCGAGATGCGGTAATGAAAGGAACATCGAAGAAAAATATTGTTACGTATACTATAGATTGGAGCGAGTAAGAGCATGTGTGGTGTGCAACGCAAACAAAAACCTAAAGATTATTGTCCCAGTGATGCGATATTGTTTATACGGGCTCATGGATCCTGAGCCGAAACAATCGAATCCTGCTTACGTCACGCGTCCGTGAGCGTTCTATTCAGTTCCTCGCGTTTTGTTGCTCGAAACGGACACAATGTCTGTATCATTTGTTGGTATAACCAAAAAGAATATATGGCAATATTATGAAAACTTGTCGAATTTTAAAGTGAAGTGCAGATTTTGCATAAAAGAATATTATTGTGTGGCTATTACAAACTTTTCGAGGCATGTTAGAACGATGCATCGAGATGTTGTTGACCACAAAGATGAAGAACTATACATATTGCCGTCGAAATTTTTCAAGTATTCCAACAAAGGATCCGCTGTTGTCATGCAATGCATCATATGCAATTTAACTTTCAAGCCCGATTCTGAATTATTAACAAAACATTTACGCAAACATTCTATGAAACAACTGGAAGATCATAGTTTTCCTAGTTGGTCATGGAAATATTGTATCAAAAGTGAGGATTATCAAGTAAAGTGTTATATTTGTAACAAGAATATAAATCTCAATATTTCACGACAGTTGAATCAACATTTAATAAATGCCCATATAGACGTTATTTTGGAAAATAAGCAAAAAACATACAACACATCTCAGTCGTCAGGTTGCGTCTTGGCGCTTGAATCGAATACAATGCCTACATCATCAAATATTGCAAAGCAGCATTCACTTAAAACGGAATTAATTGTCGGTGGCGGAGAAAGTAACAGTTGGTTGACGCAATATTACATCAAACTGTCGAATTTTAGAGTGCAATGTAAAGCTTGTCCATATAATTCTTATTACATCGATGTTTTATTGTTTAAGAATCATATAGATACTGAGCATGCCTCAATTGCTCTATTTGAAAGAAGTGAATTAGGTGAAACAAGTTTGGGATGGCAATATTTGCAGATATTAAACATATACTTTGCAAAATGTGTTATATGTGGTGTAATTTTTGCGATTCATGAAAATAATATGAATGATCATATGTCCAAGCATTCCAAACAAGAAAGGCAGGAGTGGCAAGCTGTTCTTTGGCCAATAAAATATTTTACAAAAATTTATGATTTGGTTGCAAAATGTAAAATTTGTGAAAAAATCATAAAACTTTCTATTTCACATGATGTGATATATCATATAATTAATAGACATTTAGAGTCTTTGAAGAGAATGCTAGAAACAGACAGTACAACTGAGCAATCAGGAAATCAACAAACCTGGAAAAAAGCGTTAATAAACGTTAGTATAAATTTTATTGTCATTATTATTAACGTTATTTATTTTATAATTTATATTACATTTATTTATTACTTATTTTTTATTATTTTCGACTACCGCATTTATTATACATAAAATAAAGATAACAAGTGAGACAATTAACATTTGTTTTTAATACGTGTTATCAATATTGTATACAGATTCATCAAAAACAAGCTTTATCACTTGAAGCACAGACAATATCTTCTTCGAAGAGAATATATGAAACAGACAGTACAACTGAGCAATCAGGAAGCCAGCAATCCTGGAAAAAAGCGTTAATAAACGTTAGTACAAATTTATTGTTATTATTATTAATATTATTTATTTTATAATTTACATTATATTTATTTATTACTTATTTTCGAGTACCACATTTATCATACATAAAATAAAGATAACAAGTGAAACAATTAACATTTGTTTTTAATATATATTAATATTGTGCACAGATTCATCAAAAACAAGCTTTATCACTTAAAGCACAGACAATATCTTCTTCGAAGAGAATACATGAAACAGACAGTACAACTGAGCAATCAGGAAGCCAGCAATCCTGGAAAAAAAAGTTAATAAACGTTAGTATAAATTTTATTATTATTATTATTATTATTAATATTTTTATTTATTTTATAATTTATTATACATTTATTTATTACTTACTTTTCACTATTTTTGAGTACTGCATTTATCATACATAAAATAAAGATAACAAGTGAAACAATTAACATTTGCTTTTAATACATATCAATATTGTGCACAGATTCATCAAAAACAAGCTTTACCACTTGAAACACAGACAATATCTTCTTCAAAGAGAATACATAAAACTGATAGTACAACTGAGCAATCAGGAAGCCAACAAACCTGGAAGAAACCTTTAATAAGCGTTAGTATAAATTTTATTGACATTAGTATTATTAATATTTTTATTTATTTTATAATTTACATTATATGTATTTATTTATTACCTAGTTTTCACTATTTTCGAGTACCGCATTTATTATACATAAAATAAAGATAACAAGTGAGCCAATTAACATTTGTTTTTAATACGTATTATCAATATTGTGTACAGATTCCTCAAAAACGTGTTTTACCACTTGAAGCACAGACAATGTCTTCTTTGAAGAGAATACATCAAATAGACAGTACAACTATGCAATCAGGAAGCCAACAAACCTGGAAAAAAGCATTATTAATAAACGTTAGTATAAATTTTATTGTTATTATTATTAATATTTTTATTTATTTTATATTTTACATTATATTTATTTATTATTTGTTTGTTATTATTTTCGAGTACCGCATTTATCATACGTAAAATAAAGATAACAAGTGAGACGATTAACATTTGTTTCTAATACGTATTATCAATATTATGTACAGATTCCTCAAAAACGTATTTTACCAGTTGAAGTAAGACTTTTAGACATATCTTGTTTGAAGAGAATGCATGTAATAAACAGTACAACTGAGCAATCAGGAAGCCAAAAAACTGGAAGAAGCATTAATATGCGTTAGTTAGTATAAATTTTCTTCTTATTAATTTTAATATTATTATTAATTCTGTCGTACAGTTGTGCCTTCCTTTTTATCAGACAGTTAATGATACATTTAAGAAATATTGTCACATTAAATATTAATTGTATTTTTCATAAAATTTATTATTGATACTAAAAGTTTCACTTTTTTTTCAGGAAAATTTTTTGGTGGTATATAATTTACAATACATAAACTTCTTGTGTTTTTGAACTCTTGTGTTTATAACAAAATGAAAAGATAAATAAATCTTACTGTTGCTATTGTATCCACTAATTAAGGTATTAATTATTTTAAATTGCGGTATTATGAAAGTTGTGTGAAAATTTATTTAAAATACATTATATTATTTTATCAGATAATTATTGGAACAATAAAATTAATTCCAACCGTGAAAAACTATTCATTAAAACATAAAATATAAGAAAGTTTATTAAAGTTTTATTGCATAGAAATGTTACTAGGCATTTCTAGAGATTTTTCATTTTTCTTTGAGATATTGATTAATTTGCAATTTTTAAATAACAATTATTGTGCTCTTGTCTCATTGCAACAGTTGCCGATTTAATATAAGTTGATAAATAGCTTCTAGAAAAGAGATATGTTTTTTTAAAACATGCAAGTATAAATAAATTAGTGAATGATAGAATAAACAACGACTCGATGGATGCGTGTGAGCTCAAGAAGAATCGGTGTGTGGGTGGTAAAATGACAATTGAAACATAACAAACGCACATTACTCCATCAAGAAACGGAAGGCAGCAGCCGCGGTTTTCCGGTAGACTTCCTTTTGATCCCTGCGCGACAATGTACCGTCGTCGGATATTGTCGTTAAGTTTTTATCATATCTTTCACATACGGTCAATTCTTATTCTAACAATCGTAGAATTACTCCGGGTTTTTTGAAAATTCTAAAGTTATTTTTAATCGCGTACAGTTGCTTTCCTATTTAATTAATTTAAAAAAAAACAACATTCAAAATTAATGGTTTAATATCTTTCTTCGCTCAGTAAAACCAGTATTAGAAAATTTCGTCAAATTTAGACTACGTTTATCAATTAATCGGTTTGCTTAATCGATTTTTATGAAAATGTTGCGACGTTGATTGATTTTACCACTGCGATATATCATATCAGGAGAGAGATACTGTAATCGTTGTTTTTAGAATTTGTTATTTCCAGGCGTTTAAACAAAATACATAAAAACGGTTGTTTACTTCGCGTTAATGATGCAACACTGTATCGCTGTACCAACAATACTTATTTATTATTACAGTGATGAACTTATTTATGTGGCATTTCTTAATCTGTAAATTTGTAGAATAGAAATCTAAATTTATAGATCTTCGTAATACACGATAATAAAAAATTGCTTGATCAATAAATTATCGAATTTGTAGGTCGCTAAAGAGATGCATTAATTAATTTTATTTTCGTAAAATTTTGCTCTCATTTTTCACCTGAAATGAGATCTGATTGAACTAATGTGACGGCTTCTCTCTCTTTTAAATACGATAACACTTTCATTATTCAAACAAGTAGAAAGACACAAGTAGTCGAATTATATTATATTAATATTCTCGTAAAATTTACTTGAAAACCTTTATATTTAAATTAAATGTAACATTGTACTAATATAATTATAATATTCGAATATGAATAATACATTTTAATTAAATTTGTTCGCGAACGGCTCTTGTTTCGAAGTGCATAATTCACAATACCGTGTTCCAATTCGCCCCCTTGCTCTAAGTGTATTTCTGAATAACAGAATCTGAGAATGCGAAAAAATCGTGACAAAAAGCATACGACTTCTCGCACTTTCACGCGATAGGACATTCGGCGATCGGCGCAGTTCCATTCATGAGGAAATTCATTGACTCGCGGCCTCGATTGTCCCGTCGGATGCACCGGCCGGCGGCTGCTACCGCAGGTTCCAGGAAATTCATTATCTCTCGTGCAAGCTCGCTCGCTCTTTCGAGAGAACGGTCGAGCGAAGCGTGCACCGGGAGCGCCGCCGTTAAAATTATATCGGCGAAGAGGTGCCCTCCGCCGCACCGCGCCGCGCCGCGCCGCGAGATATAATAAGGTCAGACACTAGGGTTATCGGCGGGGTTGACCGTATCTCTCTCTCTTCTCGCGAGGGAAACGATAAAACTGGATATATAGCGAACGCGGCCGCCGCTGGAGCCGTTCCAAATCTCCGCTGCATCCCCCTGCCTCCTCCTTTCCCACTCTTTCGGGATTTCTCGACGCTGACCGGCGCCCATCTTGCTCGGCGTCGGTCTTTCTGTTTCTTCATTTCATTCATTCCCAAAATTATGAATATAAATTCTCATTGAAATTTAATCGAGTGATACAACTCAACAGAGTAGTTTAAACAGTATTCGGCTATTAAGGAATGTCAGAAAAGTAAAGCACGGAAAGAACGTTTTTGCTGGAATATCTAAAAATTGTGTCAGATACAGAAAATACTTTTGTTGGGCAATCAACATTTATCAATAGAGCATTCGATCTGAGGTCTTATTATAGCAAAAAGTTTTGACGATCCATCAACCAGATCGAGCACTCTATTGATAAATTTCTGTGAGGGACTTTCTTGATTTCCAAATTAAATTTTCAAATCCATTAAAATGTCTTTTTGACTTTTCTTCGTAGAACAAAATATTTGGCAAAGAATCAGAAAGATTTGTTCTATTGTTTTTAATCAAGTTTGTCATTTAATTCTTTCGAATTCGATCTCTTTATTAAAATTAGATGCGCAAGTCTCTTTAAATTCATGTCGTCTCGGTATTTTAAAAGAACTTGTTTAGAAAAGTAGATTGTTTTGTATATGCGTGGAGCATCCATCCATCGGAATATATTTCGCTCCGATTGAAGATGAAACGTAGTTTCGAAGAGCGTAGCCGCACGCGGAGCGGAATGCTATCTCATTGCGCTTACGCTTTGATAACGAGTGCGATGGAAGTGGATTCTGAATGAAGCGTTCTGTTCGACATGGCACACAAATCGTCGGCTGTGCGAGCGCCGGGTATAAAAAACCCGCGCGTGTCTAATCAGAGCAGATTCTCCGCGTTTCCGCGATCAATTGTCATTTTTGATATCCGAGCGATTAATGAGATCGAGGACTCGTCGAAATCGTCGACGCAGTGTTTTCTTGTTTAATGCAACGAAACGAGATTTATCGGGCACTTTTCCTTTTTCAACTCTATTATCAAGATACAGCAAAGTGAATGATATTTCACAATATTTTGTACCAATATAAAAAATCGTACTATCTCAATATAAAAATTAAAAGAAATATATATATAAGCAAAAATCTTAAAATTTATGTATAACACATAATCACGTTCATATTTTTGGCAAAATAAATGCTTCTTCCTTAAAAATATATATATTTTTTATAACAAAAGTATTTCGATATTGTTAGAATTCGCGTGGAAAAAAACGCGCGCGTTCTGTTGTCGCAATAATTTACGTCGGGAACGTCGCATTGTCGCGTGTACATCTTGCGTCTGGAGAGCAGAACGATTAATTTCAATCGAGCCGTGATGCCCCTCCCCCTCCCTTGCATGGAAAGTACCGCGATCACTTCTGTCAGCGTGTGCTCTCAAGAGCGCTTTGTTTACGGGCCCGAAAGAAGCGTGGCTTTTGGAAGTGCGCCAAGCCAGCGACGCGATCTAGAAAGAAATTCATTCTTATGCCTTTGCGCCGTCTTTAATTTTTAGCTGCAGAGATTTTGCGGTATTATCTACGATTTTTTATATCTTTATTAATTAACACAAATAGATATTTATTTAAATATATTGATTATATCATTAGAATCTAATTATTCTAATAAATCTCCGAGATTTTTATCACTTTTGTTTCGCATAAGTATTTATAAATGATTTCATGAAATAACGGAATAATTTTTTATAAAAAAAGTATTTTGTTTGCGAAGAGAAAATCCCCCTCAAAAAGTTAAGATCGATTTTACATGTCTATGTGCGAAAAAGCGGCACAGTGTGCCGCTTCCTCGCCGTCTCCGATTTTGTTCGCTTCTGACTTCTTAGATTTATCGAAATTCTAAGCATTTGGCGCGACACGTTGCTGCAGGACTACCGATGCTCCTTTTTACGCTCGCCGTTTTTGCCTTTCCGTGCATACGCTCCGAGCCGGGACGTCCGCTCCGTGATTTATCCGAGATTTATGTATGCGCCTTTGTAGATCGTGAGAGGACGCCTCTCGCCGTGGAGACCACGCGTCAGAATCGGCGGAATCGTCCGCAATAGCTCGATTCTCCTTGATTTGTCGCCAGTGCAGTTTGCCGTGAATATGCAGAATGTCACCTCGTTCGTTAATGTGGAAAAATATTGTTTCCTTTGTCGGTGATTTTTGGATTCCACTTCCGAACTGCTGTTTGATCTATCGTTAAAAACGCAGAAGTATGAACTATATATAACTCTAGATAAATTTATTGTCATCCACGCGCGATTACAGTTTTTATCAAATTTTTGCTTCAAAATGTTACGATTTGCATTCCACGTCTCGTTCAAAATTAAATGTGTCTTACTTATGCAAAAGAGGTGTTATGCAAAAATCACGTGCAACGTTATTTTCGACCGAGATCTGGCGGTTGCATTTAGCGTCGAGTGTGAGATACGCGGTGCTGCGGATGTTCGAGGAGTCTCGCGTGAGGATTCAATCCTGAAATAAGAGCCATTCCTGTCCGCTTTCATCGGTGCGTGTCGCGCCAGAAGGACGTGCGTGCTCTCACCGAGGAGGCGAGAATTTCGCGAGCGGAAAAGAAGTCGTGCCCTCGGCTTCTTTTTCGAATACCTTGTAGTATGCATCTCGTCGCGTTTCTCCTCCCCCTCGTGCCTCACCGCCGTTCCTGAAAGAAGCGTGCACGCGCCTTGTACCGGCGCACTTACCATGCCTGAGGTGCATTCCTGCACGAACGTATTTCAATATAAACAATTGGCGAACGAATTTTCTTCCCGGACCCGCGCGCGAGTGATTTCTGGCCGACGTGACGGCGATGCTTCTGTCTGCGATCGCGACCCCGCGGCCTCTCGGCGGCAAAGGCACTCCGGTGATCCGTTTCTCTCTCTTTTTCCTCTTCCTCGTCGCCTTTTTACTGCCACTCCTCTCCTTTCCGCATCGCAGTCTTTCTCTCCTTTCTTTCTCCTTTCTTTTGTTCGAAATTTCACGGTAAAAGTAAGTTTGCATTTTTTTTTCAAACATAAATTTACCACAAATGTCTGTTTTATTGTAATTGAAAGCAAAATTATGTTTCATTTTTTAGAATTCTACGCTTCCATTTAATTTATATTTATAATTCAAAAGCGGCAAATAATTTTAATTGTTGGCTCGCAATTAAAAAAAATAATTCAACAAAAATTCTAATTCAACGTGATGTTTTTCACGTAATATTTCTTTAGAAAAAAAATATAGAAAGTAATTATAACTGTTGAAATAAAGTGGAATTAAATTTATTAAAAGAGATAGTGGTTTACTAATTATGATCAACTATATTTGACCGATTTGTGTGCAATGAAACTTTAATAGTATGCGTAAGGAGAACTGCAGACTCAAGGTCTGCGACCTCACGAGTGGTGCGCAAGGGTTAGAATAATGGGTACACCAGTTATACTTTGTAACGTGATATTTTCTTATTATAACATCTGCAAAAAAGACCAGTCGCGTTACATCTACAACTCGTACATACCGCCGTTATGCGTCTCGACACTGGTTACATCATCATCAATAATGCTTTTATTACTCGTCGTAGCGATGTCCTACGCGGCGCTACGATATATATATACATATATATATATATATATATATATATATATATATATACATATATATATATATATATATGTTTTTCATTTTATATATATTTATATTTCTTTGCAATTTATATATGTTCATATATCTTCATATTTATATATTTATATGCATTCATATATTTATATATATATTCTTTATTTATATTTATATATATATTAATTATTTACACATTTTATACAAAAATTTTCACGACTTTATACATAACTATGTATAAGAACGCCACTCGCGCCCTGACGTACGTACGTTCGTTTATCGATATAATACATTTTTGAGTTTCGTGAGCAACCACATCTTCATCGATGAGTATACCTCGAGAGGGATCCACGCAAGAACACGATGTCGAAGAACTAAGGATGTATATCGACAATGATACATCACACCTCAGTTCTAAAGAGAATAGCGCTTTAAGTAAGTAAAAATAAGAATTGATATATTTATATTACGTATAAATTTGCTTTCTAACTTGAATTCTTTTAAAAAGCATAAAATTATACATATTACTGTAATGAAGTTATTAGAATCTGAATTACAGTTATTCAGAAATTCTTCTTGCGTTCTCTAAAATTAAAAAAATCATTTATAACATTATTTCGTTCGAGGACTGATTTTTCAAAACAGAGTCGACTCCTCTGGTATTTTATTAATCATTGTCATTTTCTAAAGACGTCAAATGAACGAAAGCGAGAAAGACAAACGTACAGTGTACAAAAAATGATATCATCCTAAGACACTAAGCGTTTAAGTACTCGATATATGATAATGACCATGTTTCTTCAAATAAAAATCTTCCTTAATGTGCCGTTTAATTCTAAAAATGGTATATGATTCTTAAATTTAATTTAATCAGGATCTATTTCGAGTCACTTTTTAACGTTGTATTTAATTACGTATAGCGTAAAGTCTAATTGTATTTAAAACTAAAAGAAAAAAGATATAAATATGAAAAAAATATTGTATATCCATTTCAAAGAAATTTAAAATTGTGCGCTAATTTTGTTCTTAATGCACGGAGTTTATATATATCAACATGAGAAATTCAGTTATAATTAATTGGATCCCGCTCGAGAAAACTCAATCGCAAAATTATCTCCAAGGAACGTCCGCTGGCTTAAAAATATTAGAAATATATCCCATATACCCCTAAAAAAGTGCTTCACTAAGTAACTAGCTCGACATTGCCACATTTACTATAACGTAGTATTCAAATATCTCCTTTTAATATCATTAAACAACCCTATACAACGCGCCGAGTCCGTTGTGTGTGTGTGTGTGTATACAATGTATTGTACAATATTTATAAGATAGAAAAAGCACCGTCTTGAAAAATCGGATTTCAATTTTGACGTACATATATCACATTATTTTGCGACCTCGCTCTCTTTCTCTCTCTCTCTCTCTCTCTCTCTTTCACGCTCATTCGCCTTTTCTCGCTTATTTTTCCGTACACACACGCATATAACATTAACGCATACATGTACACCATCTCGCCGTGCCGTCCTCATTTCTCGCATATTCAACTTGCAGTCATTTTATCTTTATGTCTCTTACGTCGACTCATCGGAGATCCAGCGACGAGCATTATCGAATATTCTTCAAATCTCAATCAAAAATATATCTTGATATATCTCGTAGCGTAGTGGGTCTCGACTTTAACTCGCTGCATCCCAAACTCAAATTTCTTTCCGAATTAAGTCAAGATGTGTAATTGCATCTCCGTTTCCTGCTTAGCTTTGCTAAGTGGAAAATAACGATAAATTTCATAAAATCTCTTTGGAAGAATTTTAAGAAATTATTTTTATTAACACTAATCTTTTACCGCAAGATATAAAATTGCTTTGTAAATAATAATGGGTTTATCAGGACTCGCAAAAATCTCAAAACATAAAATCTCTGATTTTAGAACTTTTATTAATTAGAACAACTAATAATATACATATAATTTAATTTTAATTTAATATAAAATAAAAGTAAATTAATATTTATTTTATCTTTAAAATTTTCTCTTGACCCAAAATTTTTTAAAAGCATTTTGGATGCTGAGCGGCTTAAGTCCGCCGCCAATTCTATCATATTCCGATTACATATTTTCAACAAACAATCGCTTTTAATAATAAATCACACTCACCGGGACGTAACGAGTCAAATTGCCGCTTTCTTCTACAATTCAACAAGTCATCGGGATCATCTCGTTTTTATCTACTGACAATCGCAAACGGGACTTAGTAACATAATATGTGATTCCGCAAGAAATAACAAGGAAATTTTGGCGCAATCCGTCCGCAATTGCAAGTTCGCTGATGTTTGCTCGGATTATCGAAACGTCAATACAACAAGATAGTCTCCGACTCACCTCCTCGTAGCGTCTTTCCTTCGGACATCATGGAGGCTTCCATTACAAATTCACCGAATCTTGATCGATCGACCGGTGATTTCCCGCAGGATTAATCGTGACGCGATGATGGCACTGGCATACAAAGAGGACGTCGTGTCGCACTCTCGAGTTATCTCGTCACGTACGCTCTTAAGTAACCCAAAGGTAAAAATATCGTATTTACAGGATATATAATATTGGCTGTATGATATCGCGCGGTATTGTCATCCAAGTTGAACGTCGCGTATGGTATTTTCGCCCGTCCGTCGCTCGCTGTTCTTCTTCTCCCTCGAAACTTTCGTCCTCGAGGACGATCGTCGTAGACGAAGACATCGAAATCACCGCCGTAAGCCTAATAGAAGCGAACGTGATCGTTCGCGTTAAAACGCTACTCACGCGAATACCGCCGCACGCAAAAAAGATTATTAATTTACTTTTCACGCGATTTTGTAAGTTCCTTCCGCGACTTCACGCCGTTGCGCATTACATTCTACTTACAACAAACAATTTTATTTTATACCGGTAGAGTCGACTCGCTTAAATACCGGGATGTGCCGATGAAGCCCGACTCACCTCGCTGCTATCTAAGTACTATACATAAAAATTTGTACGATATATTTTATCCTTAAATAGAAAGAGACAAACTTTGATAGTAACGTCGCGTAGTCTTCGTGGTCTTCGCAGAAAGTTCGCTTTTACAAACAGAACGATGCAAATTTAACGAGTCACTCGAGCAATTCCCAGAACGCATAAAAAAAGTGATCGAATCGTAACATGTGCGATCAAAGCAATCGTAAGTGGATGGAAAGTAGAGAAGAAAAATGCAAAATGGAAGAAAGAGAAGGACGACTCTCAAACGCGTCATTCGGAATCGCTTCTGCATATTGAAATTATTATAGAAATGCTAATGAAGAAAAAATGATTCCTCGCCAAAATTCGTCGATGATTTTGATTTACGTAAAACATTGCGCAAGATTCTGCAAGAAATACCTTTTTCACAAAAATAAGATTTTTTTGCGCTGTAAAGAAATGCAAAGCACATATGAAAAATTGACAAAAATATTTTACTGTGAAACAAAGATTAAAACGGAGATCCTAAGAAAACGCCATGCGACAATTAAAACGCATGATTATGCGAGGTAAAACCGCGAATGGCCGGCTGTAGCTCTCATAAGTCATGAGAGAGTTCGACGAAAGCGACGTCGCGGGATTTAGATCTGCAGGAGCGAGCGTCATCCGAGGACCAAAAGGGATATTTCCGAATGCTTCACGGAATCGAAGAACGCACGCAGGCCCGCAGAGAAGGCGTCCAGATCGGGAAGGGGAAGACGACGCATCGATGAACATCGCAGAAGTGAAGAACGCAGGAATATCACGGCGAGAGAAAGAGGGAAAGAGGAAGAATTAAGCACGGTCATTAACAAAGCTCGACCGAGGGTGATAGGATAATGCGCGCGAGGCGGAAAGGAAGGTGGTCGGACGGCGAGAGGACGCTCGTCGGAGGTAAGAAATCTCGAGGCGAGCGGAAAAAGGCGGGAGGGATCGAAAGAGCGAGGTAAAAAGAATGTAATAAAGACATTGCTCATTCGGAGAATCGCGGAGGCGCCGAGTGGCCCGACGGCGTCCAGAAGCGTCCACTGCTGGGCGTTAAAACTCGCGCTAAAGTGGTCGGCCGAAAGAGGGATACGTGCTTGTCAGTTGTTTCGGCGTGAGTGTGTGCACGTGTGTGCGTGAATGAAAAGAAAGCAAGTAAGCAAGAGAGATTGCAGGGGGGGGAAGGTTCGAGGGGGAGAGAGAATAGATAGATAGATAAGAGTTTTGTTATGACGAAGAATGAAGTAAAGAGAGAAAAAGAGAGAGAGAGAGAGGGAGGGAGAACGAGCGTGGCGTGAAGAAGTCATAAATTAGCATTTATAATCAACGACGAGAAGGGGAGGGGAGAGGAGAGCGGGTGGATCTCCCATCGTTATCTCGAATCAATCTTCGCGTCGAGTACTCGCTATTAGTCGAGTCATGCCACGGGCCTTAGTCATCCGTCGCGGCGTATGAAAGTCCCTGAATCCTGGCTGGTATTCCGATTCCTCGTGGGTATCGATCTAGCGAAAACGCGAGTACTACAAAGACCAATAACGAAGAACGACGAAGTCGCCGTCGTCATTGTCGCGTCGCAATTGAAGTCGGAGCAAACGCGCAGCGGACGTTAATAACGACGTCGACGCGAACGATGTCAGAGACCTCGTGGACTCCGCGATGCGAGGGGCGAGATGCGCCCCGCTCCGCGCATCCGCGTCGTCCGCCGCGTCGTGTCGAGCGTCGGAATTCGCGGCTCTCGATTCCTCTCTACTCGAATGCGAATCTGGCACGCGCGTCGTCATCGGGCGTCGCGACGCCGTCGCTCGTGCTGTAATATTATGCGGAAGCTAGCTGCCGCCAGACAGAGTGTCACATCGTGGATATGTAGGGCCAGTTGAAGCTGTTGCCGCTCAGCAGCATATCCCTGATGAGCGTCTCGATCGGCGTCTTACCTACCAGCCGCACGAAGAAGAGCTGCTCGATCACCTGCGACGAGACCGTCCGCAGCGACGGCAGCCGCAGCAACAGCTTGCCGAATCTCGTCGGCTGATTTGGATATTGCGTCCGACAGTACTCCTCCAGCGCGCACTGCGACTTCTCCTGGAGACCCTCGATATGCGCTACGTCCGAGAGACCGCAGGCGTCTGTAACAAAAAAGAAAAATCGAGAAGATATTTAGTCACGTTCTGTGAAATGTTATTTATCTTTAAATATTATTAATGAAGAAAATATGTCCGACCATTCAAAATATATCTACAATATTACTGTTTTCACAATAGATGTATTATGAATTAGAAGGGTGATTCTACATACAAAAAAGCTACATAAGAATTATAGGATAAAATTATTTTGCGCGTTTGATCAATATTGAATTATCCGGCAAATATACATTGTAAAAAAACTCGTTTCTTCGCGCTTTGGCTTTAATCTCTTGCTCGTGCTCGAGTAGAACGGCAATCGATGGTAGAAAATCTCAATTTTTCCGCTCCGAATGTTCTTTTTGTTAGACGAAGCGTATCTCGCGAGGCGCGCGGAAGGCGATAACTGTTGCCGTTTAATCTGCGCGCAAGGAAGAAGCACCTACGCTTTATTATCGGGCTAATTATCGTTGTTGCCCATTAGCCGAGGCATGATTAGCGAGGCGGAGAGTTCCTTTCTAGTGATCTCGAATAGAGCGACCGCCGCGGAGCAAGAGGGGCAAGGAACAGGAAGGGAAAGGGAAGAAATTAAACGTGATCTACAACGGACGATGACGGGAGAGCGGTCGAGCTGGCGGAAATCGAGCTTACGAAAATATCCTTACGATTGCAATCGTGGAATAGTGCTTTATAAACCGCAGCATCGAAATTATTCGATTAACCGTGCGCGTCAAGATTAGTCATTTAATTTAGCAAAATTTTGTAAAGTTTTCAACCTTTTCGGTATTAATCAATGTTAATTAATTCAATATATTTTCTAATTATATATTTTTTATTTAATATAATTAATTAAATATTATTTTGTACCATAAACAATCCTAAGTACAGCTTGTCTAATTTCCTATTTTTTTTTTCAAAAAACCTACCTTTTTTTTCAAACCTACAAGATAGACAGAGAAGAATATAGCGAAATATAATCGGCTAATTGATAAATTCAGGACATAATTGATTACTGTCAACCGATTCATCGCGTAAATAAGGAGAACCGATATGGATCATTGTCACCGAGCGTGAATGGTGCTACAGGTGACTCGTCATTCCGACGCGAGGGTTAAGACCCTCGTGGGGTTGCAGCGGATACTGCCTTCGGGCAGATGAGACTGAAATCCACGTCGGAATGCACGTGCCAACCGGAGACGCCGCCAGTGCAAATGTCAGACTAATCACGTGGGCCATCACTTCGATATTACTCGCACCATTGTTTTGCAGAAAATCCAGCCTCTTGCTCGCATAGATAGAGAAATGGTGCATGTAATTTGCCTAAGTATATATTTGGTGTACTTGAAAACCATATATTCTTAATCATCGGTTAGACGGAATTAACAAACTGAGAATAACTTTTTAATTAAAAAATGTCGATTCAAGCAATATTATATTCACCAAAAAAATAGTAAAAAACATATCAATTTAATATTAATTAAAGCGTCTTAATTATAAAAAGAATAAAAAAAATTATCTTTCTTCGTTGTATTTATCGTTTTATTCAGATAAAAATCGTTTGTTTTTACGCTTACTTTTAAAAATATTTACTTCTATTTTTAAATGAAGCTTTAAATTGATTTGGTCGATCGTCAATATCTCGGAATGCGCATCACATCTAGCAAGACGCTCGTCACGCACATATGTCGTCAAAGCATCAGTTTCATTACCGCGTTTTTCCGCGAAACGAGAGCCGCGTGTCGCGGCCGATTACGATGAACCGCTTTATCGGGAGGCGCGCGTGTGCGTGAAGAATGGAAATAGCTGTCTGCACGCATAAATCGACGAGCACCCGATGTCGCTGGCCCGTAATCGACGAGCGGGCGTTTGCGCCGAGGGTGACGGGCTTTTTACGAACTTACGAACTCTCGGGACGTGTCGTCTCTCGTTTACGCGACGATCCTCGCCCGACACGCGGCGCGCACATAAACACGCTATAGAGACGCCAGATTCCTTTGTGGCAGGGCCCACGTGCGCATAATGGGCCATTACGCGTTACGTAGGGAAATAATGCGATTCGCATTTGCATTTCCGAGCGACGTCTGTGCGCCGGCGATGCGGAAGCAGCGCGCGGGAACGAACGAAATTACCCGCGACCGAAACCGCGAAGCTCGCCAATTATTAGGGTAGATGGGTGCAGTGAATGACCGGACGCGCCAGTGAATGACCACTGAATCTGTATCTATTTCTACGCGCTAAAGCTCAAGTTATAATGATGTCGCTTCCGCAAAATGAAGAAATTGTGTTGCACATTTAATTACTACGTAATTATAGATTGAAGTGAATATTTGTGTATAAAAGCAAAAATTAATTCAAATAATTGAAGATAAATTAATTGCAGCAAGCACACAATTAATTAATTATAAATTCTTTATAAATATATTTTATTTCACTCATTTTGAAAAGAGCAATTGTGACAAATCCTTTATGTTTATTACAAAGCAATATTGAAAAAAATTTAACTCGATATATGATAGTTGGTTGAGTATGCTTAAATATGCTCATCTCATGTTAATGTATGTTAAAGCACTTATTTATCTGGTTCACTTTATGTTGCGACACACTCGTTTGCGTATCATTACCAAGCGCTCAAGGAAATCCATATCTTACGAAATCTGACCAGCTCTCTCATTATAGCCTTCGTTTTTCAAAGAACAAAATCTACAGGTATTAATTTCACGCGAAGGATAATAATAAATAAGCATGAACTGTTTTGTTTTTTCCGAATAAAAATTAATTTTACGCAAGCCCCGTTATTACCCGCAATAGCGATAGATTGTCACATTTACGTAATCGAGGACACACATGTCGATACACAATCAACATTTAATTGTTAGCGCTACGAAGACCTTGTGAAGCACGAAGGACCGCTAGAAGCAGCTTCGGGCGATCGGTAGGCCGTATAATTATAATCTCCTTTATAAGAGGGTTGCTCCATACAACGATTCTTATCTAGCATATTTTTTGCGAACATTCGAGAAGAACAAGAACTCGGACTGATATTCCGAGTGCGTTACCGCCGGTCGGCTGTCATAATCATAAGCCCGAGTCACATCGCGAGACGTGCATCAACGCCGGTTAACTTCGGTTGACCTTCTCATGCGCAATTCAATGTCCACTCTATCTTAAAGTTATCCATCGTATAATCGAAAATAATAATTAGACTTTACAATGCTGCGCAATGTAAATCGACAGCTTTAACAAAATACGCGATATATTTGTAAATTAATCTGTTGTCATCGATGATGGGTACACAGTGACAATTGATGCGGCCTAGAAATCATTCAAAGCGCGACTTATCGAGCGTACGAATAACGTACAAACAATCTGATAAATATTCCTGACATTTCATTTTCAAACCTAAATGTCAAAGGGGAGTTTTGCCGCGCGATGACGCGGCCGATCGACGAAATCTCGAGCGCGATCGGCCGCGCGATCCCGTATCAGCCCCGATCTCGTCGTTCGACACGATTAAATGGGAGAGAGCGCGAGGAATCCGCCAACGCGCGGCCAATAAACAAACCGTCGGATTGGCCCTGTGCGATGTCGTCAGCGCCAATTCACCGCATCAGTTCGAATAATGCGGTTGAGTGGCGTCTCTGGTTTCCTCCTCGTGCCGTCACCCGTCTCTCTCTCTCTCTCTCTCTCCCGTAGCGCGCGTTAATCGCTAAATGCCGTGGCGCCTCGTTGACCGAGCACCACCATAAATTGACCAGTCTTCGGGCGGTGGGGTCCGTCCGAGACCCATCGCTGTCTTACGCGCGAGACACACCCCCTCGGGACGCCACCCCCCGCGTGCTGAACTCGACCGATTGAAATCCAGCGACTCGTCTGACGTTGCACGCGTTGTGTTGCGACATTGAATCAATTATCGGTAGCTTCGCGATGTTGTAGCATTAATGAGACGATAGAACGGCTGGCGATTGTCTTGAATGGAATATTTAGGATTTCTTTCTGGCGAAGCAGATGAGAAAGAATAAAGGAGAGAATTCAATATGGATAACGGATAATAATTTCATTCCGACAAGTGTGCACTTTGCCTATGTCGACTTGTCGACTTGGCGATACATTACGTTCTTTTTCTCACCCAGTTTTCACGTGGGCGTTCAGGCGTGTTTTAAATACTCTTAGATCACGAGCTGCATTGTGAGCTGTGACTACGCGTTCTCCGGACACACCTGAGCTGTAATAATAGGAAAAAATGTGCAATATCATCTCGAGTGGGTGTACAATGCGAGATCAGCAGCCTGCCACACCCGCTTGATAGTCAGCCTGGTGGTGAGTAAGTTTTTTGCAAAATTGAAATCGGCAAGATTCCATGCGATAGACATTTCTTTACGCAATGTGCTCTTTCTCGAACGCCCCGCATTTCTCAGTCGCTTGCTCTCACGCGATCATTGTTCCCTCGAAGTAAACGTCAGCCGCGCGAGTTCTGCCGCTTTCCAGTGCGGACCGGCTAGATCCAGCGCTATTCATCGTCTTATTAGTCTCAATTTCGCCGGGAGACACCCGTCAACCGTTCTATGAGTCTAATATTTGTACTGTAATTACGGCGCGCGTTTTTCACGAATTATCTCATAATTCAAATTTTTTAAAATTAATATATTATCTCATAATTATCTCATAATTCAAAATTTTTTATCTCATTTATACTAATACTCAAAGTTTTTTACTGTCGTGAACCAAGCATCCGCGCTTTTTGTTTTTTTCTCTTCTTCAAAAACCATTTTTTTTTACTGTTTCCAAAATTCGCCGGAGAGAATATTTGCGCCTGCGTCTGAAACGCAAGTGTCTCCCGAGTGAAGTTTCATTCGACGACCGATATTCCGTTCCGATATTACAATCGAGACGGAAAGATCGCCGATCGCGCGTCCGCAGCCGACGAGATAATCCCCAGGATACGTATATATCCCGTTGTAATCCACCCCAAAGTAGGAGCCAGGTTGTCGAAGGAGCAAGGATAATGT